TAAAGAATGAAATGTTGATGTTAACGTTTAATCTCTGCATCACCTTCAGTTCGTTGCTGAAATTGTTGTTTAAATGTTTAATTTTCTTATCAAATAACAAGTTTTTCCTTTAATATTGGATATGGACAAAAGCATTTGCTCAGGTCTCAGCACAGAACTGTTTCAGCTCTGTTGCTATGGGAAGCATTTTCCAAATCACTTCCTTTATGTTTCAGAGGGTTAATTCAGCCTGATACCAGCAGAATGGTTCTGAACGGTGACCCAGGTCCAACTCACATTTGTTTTTCCCAGCAGCTAAAATAATTTGATGCATAATAATCAAAGCTGCTGTATCAACATCATTCTAACGTTATTATTAGCCACATATAGAGCCAAGACCTGTTTAATAACTAGATATGATTTAGTTTGATCAATTATGTGATGCTGGAGAACTCCATGTTTAAATGTTTAAATGAAGCTTCTATGTTTTGACCAAATCCAATATCTGAGTATGATTCAAATGTTTCTGTTCCTGTTCGGTCGTGACTCTTTTTATCCGTCCATGTCTGCGTCTTGTCCAAGTCGTTTAGTTCCTACTTTACACTAGAGTGACATTTCCAGCTCCTTCCCGTTGACCTCAGTAGATCCTCGGCAGGCTTCTGTAGAGGCTTCCAGCAGCTAGATCAGCAGATTTGTCCTTGTCATTAAGCCTTGTGTAGCTGACAGACCCTCCCAGCTCCTCCACCTTACCATCACAGTGGCCTCAGCCTCCCATCACTCCCATCACTCCCTCACTCCTGCTCCACCCCTCACTTACTGTGACACCATGTCAGAAACTGTTTGCACGTGGCCTCTTTGCAGGATGCTGAGGAGACTGACACTACAGAGCAGGACACCGCTAGACTCTGTCCAGAGAAGGTATCCTATTGTCCAGTAGATGAAGTAGCATTGTCACCCAACATAACATGACAGAATATCTCCGTCTGCTTAGTGTCACAAATCACGCTTGCTGTTGAGCCTCCACCTTACGTAGTGTTAGTCGTGTTGTGTTCTTCCAGGTTGTAGAATCTGGGCGACCAGTGACACTGTGGAGGAAGGCTTTATGTCTGACTCTCTGTTTTGTGTTTTGTGTACATGCATAAGGAGGCAGCAGGTCCAACAATCCATTAAGCATTCTGTGACAGTCCTGGACCTTATTGAAAGTTGTAGAAAAGTTAACAAACCCTCAGTTCTGCATGTGCTGGAAAAGCTCAGTCCTGTCTCATCCCTACTCTGTGGAAAAAGTATCTGCAGAGAGAGAGGTTCTCTTGGTCATGTTGAATTATGGATTTGGGTTAAATGTTCATGGACATTTTAGAACCCCGATAAGTCAAAACTGTATTTTAAATAAAAGGGAGGAAGCCTGAGTCCTGCTGAGGTGGAACATGCAGGTGTCTACAGCGAACAGATAAGATTTCTCAAAAACAAAACATGCCAAATACATTTTTTAAGTTACTCCAAACATTGATTTTATACTCATGGATCAAGTGACTGTGTGTCATGTGAACAAGGCTGGTCGTAGTGACAGATGGTTATACACTAGCCCTGACATGGCCTCTGTATGGGTTAGGGTTAGGCTGTCCAGCACCAAACCGTGTACAGACTTGGAATAAATAAGAATCAGTGGAGGACACAACAGAGCGAGAACAAGGCTGAACTTCAGACTTCAGTTTAACAGATTGTTAACAGAATGATCAAGTTGCTGTAAATGTTGTAGAAAGTTTCAGAAAGCATAAATTAGCTAAAAGGTTTGCAGGTGTTTCAAAAACAACAAAACTGTGTTCATTTTTGTGTGCTGACCCCAAGTGGCCAGAAAACAACTAATGACAGCATCAATAGGTGTCAATAATGAACATATTGATGACTTTTAAGACATGACATGAAGAAGGACTATGAAGCCAAATGAAAACAGATTCTAACTCAGATGCTGAAGTAAAAAAGTTCCATTTCAGAGGAAGAGTTGCAGCACAATCGTGTCCATCGGCCGTCCTGCTTCATGATTTGGTCCTTGCTGCTTTGTCAGAATGTGCTTCTGAATGGATCACTTCTGACGGCATGATGGTCTTCAGTCATTTTATATTTCATTTAATAATATCATAGTTTAATGTGCTGCACAGTGCAACTTTACCAGCACAGTAGAAATAAAGAACGGAGGCAGAACAAGGCTGAATTGTTCAGAACCCCCTCTGGCTGATAACCAGGAAGCTCTTCAATGACTTGCATGTATGTTGCATATATGATGTGTGATATTGCAGCAATTCAAACCCCTTTTTCTTCCCTCCCTTTCAACCCTTGTTTTCTGCAGCTTCAGGAAGGCCAGCTAGTAGTGCGTCACTTCCAGTTCCTGCGCTGGTCTCCATACCGCGACGTGCCCGACTCCAAGAAAGCCTTTCTCAGCCTCTTGGCTCAGGTCCATAACTGGCAGAGGGAGTGTGGGGAGGGACGCACTGTTGTCCACTGCCTGTGAGTCTGCTTACATCCTTTATACATTTAAAAAGAAATTCATTTAACCTGCTGTTCACCAGGCAGACATTTAGTCATTGTATTTATTGACAGTGAGGGCAGACAGCGCCATTTGTTGTCTTATAGTTGACTGGTTCTTGCCATAAAATGTTTGCCAACACGACCACAATAAAACACAGCGAGTGTTTCAAACACCATGTTAGTTTTACAAAGTTTACCTGTGAACTGAAAACCATGATGACAAAGTCGTACAGGTGGTTAACCCTCTGAGCCCCGAGCATTTACCTGCTGTGTTTTCTGTCATGTCTGTACCCACAGTGAGCTCATGTCTCACATCCCATAATATCAAGTCTTTAAACTCTATCAGCAGCCAAACGATGGCTAAAAGTAGAGAAAACTCAAACACATGTTTTTCACTGTATAACAAAGTTATTAGGCCCCAAATCATATAGAAACAAACAAAAAGTAAATAGAAACTCTTTAGTTTTATGTTTTATCAGAATGTTTTTTTAAATCTTAAATGAACATTTACAACATTTTTCTGAATACGTGAGTTTTAATAATTTAGGGAAATTATAGCTCTGAACACTATCTATGTTTAACTATTTATATTCTGACAACTTCTACAAATCACTTGTTTTTCAAACCACTCTGGATGGAAAATCTAGAAACATATTCTACGGTGCTGAATGCATCTGACAACCACCTGATCTGTAGGATGGTTTTCAGCCACATAACATTTCTCCTGTTTTTGATCCAGCATGTCTAAGTTCCTCTCAGTCTCCCTCCACTCTGCTCTGTTTAAGAGGAGGGTTCCTGGATCTGGTGTCGATGGTTTATTTTCAGCGTCTTCTTGAGTGAAACACGTAAAATAAAGTAATCTGAATAAAATATCACAGTTTTAAACCTCAAACTGTAATGATGCATTCACCAACCGTCTAACAGGCTTTTACAGTCTCTGGCTGATAAATGGTGTGATTTATGTGACATTTAAAACATAAAATACTCTTAAAACCTGCTGGTGGGTTGTGAGGGTTCAGAGGGTTAAGCTATGGTACGATGTCGTCTCTCATCAAGGCAGACAGACTGAAGAATTCCACCTGTTGTTTGGATTTCTTGAGTTTTGTTGTCATGAGTTTGCATTTCCAGACTTTTGTCTGTGGACAGTTTGTCACGTTTAGGCTCCTATAGAAACAAATGTGTGGCCTCTGTGTAAGAGGACAAACTCCCTACAGACATATGAATGGCTCGTTCTAAGCTAATGAAAACTCAGTAGTTGGTGTACATACATCCTCCTAAATCCCACACATCAGTCCTTTTACTCCTGTTAATAAACACTAATACATTTACATTTTTTAAAGTCACATTCACAAGTAATGTGTATCGAGAAGCTGATAAATGTTACTGAAGCCTTGGAATAACTTTCAGAGCCTCCGCTGAAGGCTGGACGTTGTGTTTTAACAACATGCCAGACTGCATTCACGCTGTTCACCTTCAACTGCATGTTTGAATCATGCCGTGGTTACAAGTAGGAAAGTTCTTACACACTTCAGAGATATTAAAACACGAGAGCAGCGTTACAGAGGAAAAACTAACCAAGGAGTGTCTTTGGATTTGTACTGACCCCCCATCTCCATGCAGGGCCCTCTGCCTTGTGCAGGTCAGGCTGTGTGTTAGACATCTTACATCTGATTAAGTCTACGCTCCTGTATTTTAATGAGAACTTTGCTCAGATATTCATCTTGAAAGTCTGCCAGTTGGCCTTTTTCTGACAGCATGCTTGATCTGTGCTCAGTCAAACTGTGACATTTCACTGTGTAGCTCCGCTTCTGAAAAGCTGGCTGAGCTGCTGTACCACATCTTTATGAGGTCACTCACGTCTTTACGCTCCTTTTCTGTGCGTTTGTCTGTCTGTATCTGTCTTTGTTCGTCCCTTCTGGCGCAGGAATGGTGGCGGTCGAAGCGGTACGTTCTGTGCCTGCACAATGATCCTGGAAATGATTCGTCATCATAGCATGGTGGACGTGTTCTTTGCTGCCAAAACACTGCGCAACTCCAAACCAAACATGGTGGAGACAATGGTGAGCATGAGTCTGTCTTTACTGCTGATGGGTTGTTTAGCACAGAGCTACACGACCTGTTTCTTTCATCTAACAAATAAGCAAATAGGTGCATCCACAAAAATGGTGGGTCCACCAGGAACTGCTTTATGCTCTGTCGTTTAATAATATCACTTCTGTTCTGTTTCCAGGAGCAGTATCGGTTCTGCTATGACCTGGCCCAGGAGTACCTGGACTGTTTGGAAGTCAGATAGCACCTATCCTTCTCTTCTCGTCCCACCTCAAGGAAATGGTCCAGATCTTGGAGCCTTCTTCCTGGGTCTTTGCCCCTGCCTCCTTAGTCCATGTATACAACTCTGGTTGGCTTCTTTGCCCTGCCTGGATGAGACGTCTGCAGAAAGGCTGACAGAGAAAGCTCACTGGACAACTTGTACCATACTTCTGAAACCCTTTTTGCTTTTTCCGTGGCGCTCTGATCCAGCCCCTACTCTTTTGTGCCACTTTACATCTGCCAAACCAGAGGACTCTTAACAGGAGTGGAGTTCATTTTATAAGACCACTGTCAAGGCAGTCTGTTGTACACCTCGCCAACGGCATTCAAAGAGCTCTGCTGTAACCTGCCTTACTATGAACAAACACTGAAACGGAACTGTAGTTGATGCCAACCACTGGGTGATATTTTGTGTTTGTGACACTGTAAATGGTGCAATATGCTGTTGGTGAACATCCCATGTTGTACTGTACTATATTTGAACTTTATCATGGGTGAGGCTGACGATTGAAGGTTAAAAAAGGCTAACAGGAGAGTAGCCGGTCACAGCTGATAGACATATCTGTACAGTGGAATTGTCTTGGACCTAATTTCTCTTTATTTATTCTTTATGTATATAGATGTTTTTTTTTTCCTTCCTTCGGGTGTTTCTAGATGTTCTCAACGTCTTATCAATGTGCCAATCCATTCTCTCTGTGTCTGTAAATGGGTTAGGGTTCAACATCTGCATGCCCAGTCTTAAGTGTTTCATTGCAGTGTGTGGCCCAAGTCTGCTTCAGGTTGGATTCTGCAACCCGAATCCCTCCGCTAGTCCTGAGAGAGCTCCATCAGAATAACCATGTGTTGCTGTGAGAAGACGGCGAAAATCTGTCGCTTTCTAAATTTGTATTTATTCAGTGTGTTTTATTTTCTAAATAGTGTATAAAACAGAAAAGAAATAAAATCTGCTGTTGCTTAGCAGTCACACTTTTGAGGAGATTCTTTTGTACGTCCCACAGACAAGGACAGGGTCGGCCAGGTTAGATATAAAGAGCCAGTCCAGGTGCCATACACAACCAGAGTCAGAAGACATAGATAGTCGGCTTGTGAGCCTTCTAGATGGACCACTGATTGGCTCCAGAGGACTCCTGAGCTGAGTGTATCTGTTCTTGAGTTCCAATCAATCCAATCAATCAAGCACCTGAAAGTTGTGAAAAAACCACAGAGATGCAAAACGACTTCAGTAGGATTCACATCCTAAAAACAACCAGGAAGGGATGTGAACTGACAACAAAGAGACACAAGACAACCAGAGAGAATCAAAATGACCACATGGGCTCAAAACAACTACAAATACACATGTGGACAAAATAGTTGGAACCCCTCAG